TGGGATCCCAGCCAAATCGTTTAATGTTTCTGCTGTTCAGTTCCTGACTTGTTAAATGGGGTATCATTTACACCACATGCCTCAGTGAAAGGTTGAGGACTAAAGGAGATAGTTGGTGCAAGTGCTTTGAAAATGTAAAGTGCTATACAAATATGAAGTGTTCAAAAAGAAACAAAAAGTATTGATCCATCCTTAAAATCAGGGCAGAATACTTGGGTATGTAAGAATTGAATGGAAAAGAAAGGAAACTGTTACCCAAGGAGAACAATGTTAAGATTTATAGAACAAAGGATTAACTATGGAATGTGGACAGCTTCGCATTCATCTTGAGATGATGAAAGCCTCAACAAAACCCTTTGCTGTTGATTTTATGTTGAGTTCATTTTTACAGGTGTCAGTTTCCTTTGGAATCATACCTTTGGACCATACATAGTGACATATTTAAAAGGCCTGGACTATTGGCTTGGAGCCCATAGCATAGTGGTTATGGCACCAGCCACATACACTGAAGTTGGCAGGTTCAAACTCAGCCTGGGCCAGCTAAAAAAACGATGACAACTGTAACAACAACAAAAATAGCCAGGCATTGTGGCAGGCACCTGTAGTCCCAGCTGCTTGGGAGGCTGAGGCAAGAGAATCCCTTACGCCCAAGAGTTTGAGGTTGCTGTGAGCTGTGATGCCACTACACTCTACCGATGGCAACACAGTGAGACTCTGTCTCAAAAGAGAAAAAAAAAAAAAAGGCTTGGACTTTTAATTTTTTCAGAGACAGAGTCTCACTTTGTCACCCTCAGTAGAGTGCTGTGGTGTCACAGCAGCAGCTCTTGGGCTTAGGCGATTCTCATACCTCAGCCTCCCGGAGGCTTGGGCCTTTAATAGCTTTACCCCCCACTTTCCCCTGATGGCCATTGCTATATGAGTATCTATGTTTTCGCCTACTGAGAAAAATGCAGGACTATGAGCATACTTAGTTAGGTGCATGCTACGCATATACCCACCCCAGCTTTTGTTACAAAAAATTGAAAATTGCCTACTGATGTTAGACTACTTCAGGGCAGGGATTGCCCCTTGTCAAAATTTCTCTTGTTTTGAAGAGTCTCACTTTGTTGCTTCAGGCTAGAGTGCTGTAACATCATAGCTCACAGCAACCTCAAACTCCTGGGTTCAAGAGATCCTCTTTCCACAGCCTCCCAAGTAGTTGTAGCATCTGCCACAAAACCTGGCCAGTTTTTCTATTTTTAGTAGAGATGGGGCCTCCCTCTTGTTCAGGATGGTCTTGAACTCCTAAGCTCAAGCAATCCACCCACCCCAGCCTCCCAGAGTGTTAGAATTACAGGTGTGAGCCACGGCACCTGGCCTACAGCCCAGTTCTTTACATTGTGCAAAAGGCATTTCATGATTTGGTCCCCAAATCATGTGGCTCTACTTCTCACTACTCTCCTTTACCTGGTGATGCACCCACACTTGCGTTCTTTCAGGATCTCCAACGTGTCAGACTTCTGCTCCTAACAGATTTTTCACGAGCTATTTCACCCACCCAGTATACCTTGCTCCATTCCTTTTGGCTAACTCCTACTCTCCTTTGGATGTTACTTTCTCTGACAACCTCCCTTGAATCTCCTTCTCAAGGGGTTAGCCTCCTTTTTGAGACAGAATCTCAAGCTGTTGCTCTGTGTAGAGTGTCATAGCATCATAGCTCACAGCAACCTCCAACTTGGGCTCCAGTGATCCTCTTGCCTCAGTTTTTCTATTTTTAGTAGACACAGGGCCTCACTTTTGCTCAGGCTGGTCTCAAACTCATAAGCTCAAGCAATCCACCTGCCTCAGCCTCCTGGAGCGCTAAGATTACAGGTGCGTTCCACCTCACCCAGCCTTGGGTTAGCCTCTGTCAAGCATACCCTTCACTTCTTTCATCACAGTGCTTTTCACATCTTATTAATTTCATGCTTAATTACCTATCTCACCAGACAAATTCTCTGGACCAGGTAACAGTCTTTTTAGTGAATGTTTCTGCCATTTTTTTTTTTAAAGACAGAGTCTTAAGCTGTTGCCTTGGGTAGAGTGCTGCAGCGTCACAGCTCACAGCAACCTCAAACTCTTGGGCTTAAGTGATTCTCTTGCCTCAGCCTCCCAAGTAGCTGGGACTACAGGTGCCCACCACAATGCCCAGCTTTTTTTTTGGTTATTGTTGCAGTTGCCATTGTTGTTTTTTAGCTGGCCCAGGCTGGGTTGGAACCTGCCAGCCTGGGTGTATGTGGCTGGTGCTCTACCCACTGAGCTATGGGCAATGCCCATTTCTGCCATTTTAATAGTGCCTGGAATTTAGGAGGTGCACAATAAATACTGAGTTATACTGAAATTGACATGGCAAACACTTGACACAAATTCACTGGAAGGTACCTTAACCAGTTCTCTGCTAAGAGACAAGGCATTTGGGGGTTGGTGACGGCAAAAAGAAACGAGCCTGGTGAAGTCAAGCGGCCACTTCAAGGAGCCCACTGCTATTTCAGCCTAAGAAAATTCTGTACACGCACCATTAGCCACAGGGGAGACTGGAGGTGTGCTGTGTGGCAGAGGAGGAAGTAGTAGTGAAGTGAGTAGTAAATGTTTATTTTGAAGACTTTCTGGTGTGACCATGTGGTTCAAAAAAGTTGCATTACACATCAGAAAGTCAACTAGGTGTCTGTAGGTTCTAACTAGTACCAGCTGATCTCCTGCCTTTTACTCTAATGTTAACACGCATACATTGTATGAGTTACTCATACAGATTACTGTCATTGCAGCAGTCAGTATCTTTGCAGTCTTTGGCTACGAATATTTTTAAGTTTATCAATACTTTTCAAAAATAGGTCGTTTCAGTTTTGACCACCTGTGTTTACTGAAGAATCAGTTAAGCATGACTTCATGTTTCAGAAGAGTGACAGTCTCTATGGAGGCTTTCTTGCCTAACAGTTAGAAAAGCTGTGCCCTTTTTTAAGCTAAAGAGTAAGCAATGTTCTAAATAGGGTGGGTAAATTTGGAATGGACTGGGTAAAGGTTCAATATTTTTATTTTTTTTTTTGTTGAGACAAGAGTCTCATTTTGTCACCCTCTGTAGAGGGCCGTGGCATCATAGCTCACAGAAACCTCAAACTCTTGGGCTCAAGAGATTCTCTTGTCTCAGCCTCCCAAAGAGCTGTGATTCTAGGTGGCTGCCACAATGCCCGGCAACTTTTTTTTTTCTTTTGAGACAGTCTTACTATGTTGCCCTGGGTATAGTGCCATGGCATCACAGCTCACAGCAACCTCAAACTCTTGGGCTTAAGTGATTCTTTTGCTTTAGCCTCCCAAGTAGCTGGGACTATAGG